AAAGGAACTAAAGCCAACACAGACAAGACCCAAATGTTGCTAGTTGTGAGAGGTAGCCAGTTAAATTTAACTGAAGCCTTTTATAAATTCTTTGGGGAATTTAGTAGCAACTACATTTTAGGACTGGTACAATTTCTGTCAATCCAGACACAATCTCGGAACGGTAGAGCAGTTAGAACATAAAGTAATTTGTCCTTTTCAACCTCCTTTGAAGGCAGACTCTGGAAGGATGGAAGAACAGTAGCCCTATTAGCTGAATTCCACTTGCTTATTGTCTATCCTTGTTTTGCTAAGAATGAAGAAAAGCATGGAATGGTTCATAAGAAAGGTCTGGTGTGCTGTATTTTGTCTGATCATCCTAAGAACTAACAAGAATGCCCCCCCCCAAAAGCCTATACAATAATGGATATTTATAAAGGTTGTTATATTAGATGTTGTAGGGAGGGATAGGCTAAGGAACTGAAACATAAATGGAAGACCATTTTGGCGTCTACAGATCTCAAACAACTAATTCAACAAAAATTACTGTTTTATGAAGATATCTTGTAATCGTGGCTCCTTTTTGGTCACAGATTGTTTCACATGTTACTTTTGATCTGTTTTTTGTAGTGTCTTATGTTCTTGTTACATTAAAGGATCTCTGTGTTTGACCTTGGCTGTTTTAAAAATTTCAGTAGAGTCAGAACACATTACTACTTAGATGGGCTCCACTTGAATCAAAATGGCTGCTCACCCAATTTCATGAGATATTTATTTTTTTATTTGATTTGATGCCGCCTGACTCCAGACAACTCTAGGCAGCTCACAGTATACCAAAGCAATAAAAAAAAGTACAGCAGAGACAAACAAATAACAAAAGTAGACTCAGCCCCAAAAAAAAAAAAGAGGAACAGCAAAACTGCTGAACCTGGCAAATTCCAAAACACCACAACAAAGGGGGCATAAGCCACCCTAGTCCAAGGCCTGGGAGAACAGCCAAGTCTTTATGGCTCTTCAGAATGCTCCCAGGATGGGAGCCATCCAGATCTCAAGGGTACCTCATTCCAGAGGGCAGGTGCTGCAACAGAGGAGGTGCGCTTCCTGAGTGCTAATAGGTGGCATTATTTAATCTTTCTGAAACTTTTCACAATCACTTTTAATTTTCAGCACCCTGGATAGTTTAATATACAGTAATCCACAAACCTGGCCAACTCACTGTTGTCTCTAGATCAAGACAACTTATCAACAAGTTTAAAAGCCCCAGTTTCAAACAGATCCTTCAAGGTCTCCACTTCTTCCTTCCGTCCATTTATTTGCACTCTGCTTACTTTCTTAAAGTTAGTAATCAGACAAACTAAATAACCACCTGCCACAGAATGTATTAGGTGGTAACAAATAAAATACTACTTCCTGTTTTGGCAGCGTTTGAATCTAGTGACGTATGAATGTACATACGTGGTACCAGAGATTATTTCCCTTCCCGGAGATATAACTTGACAAAGGAATCTGAAAATTGAGAGCAGTAATGACCGCAAAACTCATTAATAAAAAGGGCTACATGATTTCAATTAAATATATATATGAATAACAAGCATTTTTTTAAATTAGTTGAAATGGTATCCTCAAACTCACTCCCAAATATACATCTCTAATCAAGTTTCGGATGACATGGGTTAAAATCCACGAAAGCTTAAGTGACATTAAAAAATCGGTTTGTTTTTAAAATTCCGCAAAACTAGGGCTGTCGGAACTGGACTGAAAAGTTTTCTATATTTCTTTGTTATAATCCAGATACCTCTGAGTTTCTTTTAGCTAAGAATATAGATTCATGAAAAATGAAATAAGCGAAAGACAACATACAGCAAGAAACACTGTATGTTTATCTTACCGCTGAGAAAAACGGCCGTTGCAGATCCTATTCAACTGCAACTAATCTTAATCTCCCCATTCTCACGTGCGGCTACAGGGGAGCAGATCAAACAAACGCCCGAAACTAATACGCCCGTTTTTCCCGGTAATAAAGCGGACCGCGTAACAATCAACCCGGAAACACTTTTCTCTATTTCCGCTCAAACCGGGCGGGACCTGAGCAGATTGCTTAGATGCCCCGCCCTCTAGTGTCAGAGGGCGAACGTAAGAGGGATAGGTATAGAGATAATAAATAGAGGAGCAATGATTCCGTAACTCCTTATGTAGTCGGCTATAACACCCTCATTTTCCATTCTCGCTACGGGCACAGTACGTCGCCATTCACTCGGGAAGAAACAACTGAACTAGTTCAGTGTTTTTCAAACTTGGCAACTTGAATATGTGTGGACTTCAACTCCCAGAATTCCACAGCCAGCATGCTAGCTGGGGAATTCAGAGAGTTGAAGTCCATACATCTTCAAGTTGAGAGTTTGAGAAACACTGCACTAGGCAATCTTTTCCGCCATTTGAAGGGTGGCTACGCCTAAGTGATTTAGGTTGCCAACAGTCCTTCAATCTAAAGGGTTTGAATTTGGAAGGCTGCCGGACCTGCGGGCAGAATGCCAAGCAGACTGTGGTAGATGCATTTGGGGAACAGCTGCCGAAGGGCAATACCCATGGACCAGCCCAGTGACGCGTCCCAATCTTGCAATTTTTAGACCCGGGACTAGATCCACTTCCACCAACTTTTGAACTGGGCAGCTTTGTCCCAACTTGCTGCAAAATTTCTCTATACTGTCGGTAGACAAACGAGCGGAATTAAAACAATTGCATTCCGTAGTTGAGCCGGGGATTTCGGCATGTCGGATATAAAATCTACAGTCTAGGCTGGAATTCCTCTAACAATAGTTGTCCTGCAATTTATGACAAAGAGCGTGCAGAGTACAGCAATCATGGGTATTGCACAACTGTTCCTGGGTTTCGTTAATGAACTTTCTCTGATTTAAGCAAATGAGAGAATGGGAAGATGCAAGATTTCTAAGCAAGATGACGACTAAATCCTTCCTCCCTAAAACTCTGTGCATTACTAAAATGGAAAAGAACAGCGCAAGATCCTTTCGATTTCAGATAATTTTTTTTCCAGAATCTGAAATCACCATCAAATTATGAACAACATCCCTCTGCATATGACAATCCACAACAAAGATCTGTTTTTGGTATCACCATGGCAGTTTGGCTCTGAGGCACTGATCTTTTTTATCTTTTTTTATTTTTTAAAGATACTTTAATATTTTCATTACCATCTGAAACTATAGTCAAGTCATAGAACACATCAGCCTGAATGGAGAATCTAGTAAAAAAACAGGGATCTAATTTATTTGTTGTTGTATTTAACTGGCATTAAAATGTGGATTCAAGGGACATATCAACATGAATCCACATACTTTTATATTGGATCTGTCTAAAAACAATTAAATTGCAGAATACCTCCATTTGGATGGAATGAGTGATGACAATAATGAATTCAACTATTGTTGCTGTAAAACAATACAAAAAAATGGATCTGAAGCATAAATCCTCAGAATGGGATTAGAGCAGGGATCTTAAAAGATTGTCAGGATGCACCTGAAAATATAGAATCATAGTCATGGAATGAGTTTACAATTTTTACTTGGAACCTACTATCAGGTCACAGGTGACATCTGTCTATATGCTATGGTTTAGATGGAACCTGTGAAGAAATCAAGAGGATCTGTGTCTTGGATCCATATTTTTGCATCAGTGTGGCTCCAAACATGCTGGATCTATGAATGTGCAGTAATAATTTATTCTCTATGAAACATATTATGTGATGTTAGATGATAGTTTCAGGTAGATCCTATGTAAAAATCATGAAGATCCATATTGACCTTACTATTATCCAGATCCAATTAAAATCTCTTTTGGAAGAAGCCAGGATCATGGAATTGCAATAAAAGCCCCAGCCTTCTGATATCCAGTCCAGAAACTTACTTTTGGATTTCAATGGAGATCACTTCCCCATTGATTCAAAATTTGTCACTGAGTATGGCCCGCTATTCATGCCTCACTCTACTGTCTAGATTCAAGAGAAATTTCTAATTAATTCTGTCTTTTGGCCTCCAATACAGTTGCAGAGAGGCTGCAAAAATTAGATTACTCCAACTATGCTGCTTTTGGGGGACAGAAAATAGATTGGGGGAGGGGCAAAATTTCCTGTCATCCCATTTGTGGTCCATGATCCTGATCAAGCTACTTTTTAATTAAAAATAAAAATGAAGTCTGGGATTCTATTTATAATGACCACTCCTGTATAAGTGAGAAAGCTCTTGGTTCCTTGAATCATCTATAGCTAGGTGTTGTTTACCCATGGTTTGCACTGGGCAGACTTGTTATAGGTTATGAAAATATATGTAGTGTGGGCTTGAATCCTAGGTTTCCCTGTCTTTTCCCTCTTCCACCTTCAAAAAGTCGAGTGGGTGGGACATGTGAAGTCAGTTCAGATCTCCTATTTCCCACCCTTGTGCTCTGATAGAGTTATGTGACTGCACATCTCTGGTTACTCTTACTGCATGTCCTTGCTCCTCCCTTTGGCTATTTAGGAAAAATAAACATTGGGCCTTCAATCTGTCTATTTTTTATAGGTAACTAGCTTAGAGAATTATAAAGGTAACTATTCTGTAAACTTCTGTTTGTGTGGTATTTTTTAAATTATTTGTCAATCAAATTCATACACCACTTATCTCACTATACAAGTGACTCTAGGCAGCTTATACATAACAAGTGATAAAAACAGTAAAAAATCTTTACAAAACGTATGTACAAAATCTGTATACTCCAAAAGGGTGTTTGTTAGGAATAAAAGACAATCAATCCTCTGTCTCTGAACTTCCAAAGTTAGCTTCCTTCTTCCATTCATGGAATGGAAATGAATTGTTTCAATGTTCAAAACTACTGCTTTATGAGAAAATATTTTCTTTAGTATCAATATCAATATCCTCAGGCTACTGTATATCAAAGGGGCTTTTATCATCGTACCTGGACAAAATACTTTTTTACAGAAAACTTAACACAGCTTGAAACAAGTATGAGCGTGTTTATTTGGAAGCAGCTTCATCAATTTGCAGCAGCATCCTATCCATATTGACCAGATGGGATTGCTGGAAAAATATATTTTGCAACGTTAGACTGGGCTAGAAAAATCCAGATGACAGCAGGTGGCAGCAAAGAGGTCGACTGTTCTGTCTCTTTGTTGCTATCCAGCAGTTGTCTGGATTTATGCAGCTCAGGTACCACTGCCTTACAACGCAGAGGTGGTTTGTTTTATCATTTACTAAATTAAACAAAAATGCATTGGACTGACAATTATACGGCAAATCAACGTAAAGCATACACATCTTGAAAAACAGAACATACTGGTATGCGTAGGTCAGATTATTTTTGGTAGCCCCAGAATATTATGGTATAGTAATAATTATAAATATGGATGTACTGTATAATCCAGAATTTTCAGTAATTTATTATGCAAGTGTCTGAACTGTCACACTTCGAGGGTTTTAATGTCATTGTTCTGACATAGCAGTGTGTACTTCCCAAATTCTTTCTGCATTTAGTTGAGGATTTTATTGCTCATGTTACCTAGTTAGGATAGGAGAATTTCTCTTCCAAATGCAAAAAGTTTTGTTTTCTCTCTGTTATAGAGAATGCTATTCCTACAGACATAAAAAAGGAGGCATCATTTATTTTTTAAGAATGTGATTCGAAATCATATCCAGGATTATCTCTTACTATTATCTCTTATTTAAGACACTTCTCCTGTCGTTGAATGCTGTTTAATTTCTGTGATTCTTTGCTTCCTGAAGAAGCCATAATTTCACACTTCAGAAGTCATGTTCTGATTATTATTGTGAAACATTCAGTTTCATATTATTTCAAGCTTTAATAGTTCAATCCTTTTGTTAATAAATCTCATCTTCTTATAACTGAAGTCTGAATAACCAATGTCCAAAATAAACTGCTTACAAAATCACTTTTTAAAAATGTGGTTTGACATTTTAGAAAGCTAGATGTTAAGACATAATTAAAACAAATAAAAAACGTCACATACTCTAAAACCAGCAAGAGATTTATTTTCTATTTTGTGTTAAAAATCACATGCATAATTATAGAATATTTTATCATTTAAAAAAAATACTTTACAGACATGACAGTTTACCTGCAACTGCTATAAAATTTCTTGAAATATATATAAAAAAGTTGCCTTCAATAAAATAAGAATAAAGCAACTATTTTAAAGAAGGCTGTTATCCATATTTTTACTGATGCTCTGCATCAGACAATAATGCATATATACACTGATTAAATGGTCAACCTAACAGTTAGTTTAAAAGAAGTCTGACCCTCTGCATATGTAACTGAAAATAGTGCATAAACTAAAAGATAGGAGTAAAACCCAGGTGATGGTACTGCAGAACAACTGAGAAGCCACGATGCCGAGTTACAAGTGGTGAATGCTGTGGCTTTGCTTCTGGAGAGCCTGTAAAACTCGACTGCTTATTTTTTTGTAGATTATGTATAATCACTGATAGTAATTCATACTTTTACTAACCGGTAGGGTTTAGAGAATACAGATCATTTAATTTCAACACCCAATCAGTTTATATAACAATTAAAATAATTAGCTTTAGGTATTTTGGTCACTGTTGTCATTCTGGAATATAGCCCCATAAGGATCACTGTTGATGCGCTTATAAACAAAATGGAAGACCTGAGGCTGTGGCCGACTGTGCAGTTCAGCTTTGATCTTTTGGGGATAGGTATCTTCTGTCAGTTGCTGCCAAGTGTCATCAATAAAAAGAAACAGGCTATAGCTGTCAGGATTATCCACTTTAAATTTCTCAGCACAGAGCTGGCACACATCTTCTGTAGTAATATATGGTCTCACTAACAATGTCTTTCCTGTGCAGCCACTGTTTATTTCCTGGAATGCAACTCGTAGGTAGTTCTGTGGAGTGGAAAAACATAAGGAAAAAATTAAAATGTACATTCAGGAGCGAAGCAGTCAATACTGCATCTTGCATCAGTACAAACAAATGCATTATTATTATTTTCATAAAGATAGGAAGGTGTTCTTCAGAATGGTGTTCCCTCTGCCACCCCTGGCGCCCCTCCGCTGACCTTTGCCTCTTCCTTCTCCCGCTGCTGACTAGGTGTGCTCGGCCTGGCTCTTTGCGAGGCAGCTGCTGGCTGTACGAGACTTTGGGAAGGCCTTGCAAAGGGCTAGGCCAGGCATAGCTTGTCAGCAGTGGGAGGAAGAAGACAGCAAAGGTCAGCTGGGAGTGGCAGGGGTGCAGGGCAGAGGACAGGGCGGCAGGGACAGTGGAGTGCAGGGCTGCCAAAAGGGCAGAGATGGGGGAGATAGGCGGGTAGGGGGAATTGAAGAGCACCCTACAGTCATAATTGTGGGTGAGCTGCCAAGGGCCTGAATTTTAATCACGTGACCATGGGGGTGCTGCAATGGCCATAATTTCAAGGACTGGTTATAAATACCATTCATTCAGCACCATACCTTTGAACGGCTACTGAACTAACGGTCATTAAGCGAGGACTACCTGTATGTGAAATCATTCACTAGAAGGAGGAACTAAGTCAAATATAGGTCCAACTTTGCATTCAGAATGCCACAACCAATGCTTTTCTTACAAAAGGGGAAAAACAACCTATACGCTTATTTTAGCTTAGGTATTTTTCAATTGGTTTCAACATAAATACTGGAGGTTTCTGGACCAGAATAAAATGTAGTTAGTAGTGAAAGCAATCATTACACTTCCTAAAAAAACCCAAACTGAATTATTGCAGTAAATATCAGAATTTGACTTTGAGCATCCATTATTAATAAGCTAACATATAAGCCAACATTAAAATGGCAGGATGTCTAACAGGGGTTATGGTTGCACTTCTATCCCTCTTAGAATAGCCAGGATCTTGGAATATTTCAAAGGGAAGTTTTGAAACAATTTATCAATTCGTTCATCATCCCGCCCAACTTCCTTAAAAGTAAGATTGCAGTCCCACCAAAATTCTACAAAACATCCTTTTATCATGTTCAGTAGTTTTAAAGGATATTTGGGGCACAAGTGCAACATAGAGAGCTATCTCTTCCCCCTAAGCTTATGATTCATGTTTCACTGCATCTTGCTTAAGGTGATAGTCATATTAGATGAGATGGGGGCAGAATACCATTTATTTAAGCTGCCTGCCCCATTCACACCCAAACCAGGCTGGAGAAAGTGGTTTTCAAAGCAAAGAAGCCATACAGGAAAGGAACAAGGAACCCTCCCTTTTTGTACCATAATCCTCAAAGCTGAATACTTTTTACCCTAGCTCACTTCAGTTATAAGCTGGGAAAGGAAAAAAGAGGAGCAACAGACAGAGGGGAACCAAGATACATGCCTGTCTACTGGGGATAGATGGGACCAAGCATTTCTTTCCTGTACGTTTTTTGTTATTTGAATGAAACCCCTCTGCCCATTTTAATTGTGAATATAATTGATACATTGCATTTGACCTCTTCTAATGAAGGGTCACTTAACTAACATCAGCCAGGGCAAGTCAAATGTACCATGCTGTGCACTCTACCATTCATTTTCTGGAAGACATAAACCGTACCTGAAAATCATCAACAGATGGGATTGTTCTGTTCGTTGTTCTCCGCTTATGCCACTGCCTGAGAGTATTTCTGGCTTCTGAACACAACAGTCTGGCTGCTTGTTCTTCTTGGAAATTTTTAATTAAGGACAGTGCTCCATATGCACTTGTCAAATAGTAGCCTCCTGTAAAAATTACAAGGGGAGAAATTATTATTAATGAATTGGATATATGTGAAGGAAGAAATCAAGACCATATCCATAATTTCCATGGCATATTAATTTGGAAGAATCTCAGGTGGTATAGTTTGCCAATTGTTTGGAAACTTGTCTCAGTCCTAGGATTCCTCAGAGACCCGTTAGGGATTCTCATTAAGAAAGTAATTGGTAAAACTTCCTTTAATGCCTATTTATCCATCATGTTTTCCATTACAGGTAGTCCCCAGTTTAAGAATGGGTTCCATTCCCAAGGTCTGTCCTTAAGTCAAATTTGTATGTAAGCTGGAACAGTATTATTG